GATGCTCCAGTCCGGACTGCATCGGTTCTGAGTGGGGCTCAATCTTCTCGTGGGTAGTCCTCCAATCGGCCATCAGCTCTGCGTGTCTGGCTTCCGCCTTGGCCTGGTCAGCTTTTCTGTTGGCCTCCGTCTTGGCCTGGTTTGCCTCCATTTCTTCTTTGTCGGCCTTCCTATCGGCATCTGCTTTTTCTTGGTTTGTCCTAATCTCTTTCAGTAGAAGTTCTATCGTCTGCTGCATCTCCATTTTGTAGCAGTAAGATACTTGATTCACAACAATTTGTTAGTGGCGTGTTTAAGTTCATAACACTTCTGACACCAATGTAGCGTGTTTGTGTGTCACGCTACAAATAGATTCACGCCGGTCTCAAATTCAGTAGAACATTTATTGTTCTTCGCACTTACACAATCACATGCTTTACAATTGTTAGCCTACACAATTTCTCGGCGATACTGGACCCAGACGGATATTCCGAAGCTTCTTCTCCGAAGGCTGTTCCACGACTGACTTCTTCGAATGCTATTCCGAGACGCACTGTTTTCCTGAAGCTGGGCTATCCATAACCTTGCCCGCTGTTAGGCAACGAACCCTCCGTTATAACCATGGAGACTCCTGTTAGAATTACCATGGAGCAATTGTTGTCTCCTCTGTAACGGTCTATTGTAGCGTTTCCATAGAAGTTACTCCTCGGGTTTGCCGACACGTTACAATATTGTTCTGTTGACAGATGTAAATATGTGGTAGAGTCATTAAGTTCGTGGAATGTGATTCTAATCGCATCATATTACAAAGTATTCACAAACACTTATGTAGATTCACATTGGCCCTCAAAATATTTGCCGTCAGCCGCTATGAAAGACTGCCAAAGGTCGAAAATATTGCTGAAACATACTGGCAGTAAATTCCCGTACAACGCTTTGCGGGGAGTCCACGAATTTATTGACTGTGGTAGTATACTCAATCTTTGGTTCCCAACCATGGGATAACTTTTACTGAAATAAGAAATTGTTGTGTTGACGGATGCAAATACACTCAATCTTTGGTGTCCAACCTTAGGCAAAGTTCTGCTGAAATAAGAAATTGTGTTGACAGATGTAAATATATTCCGTTTTTGGTTTCCAACCTTGGGCTCAGTTCTACTGAAATATGAAATTGTGTTGACAGATGTACATACATTCAACCGTTGGTGTCCATCCTTGAGCTAAGATTTACTGAAACAAGAAACTGTTGTATTGATGGGTGTAAATGTTTTCGATCTTTGGTGTTCAACCTTGGGCTAAGTTCTACTGATATAAGAAATTGTTGTGTTGATGGATGTAAACATATTCAATCTTTGGTGTTCAACCCTGGGCTAAGTTCTACTGAAATAAGAAACTGTTGTGTTGATGAACATAAATATTGTGACCCCCTCTTGCCCCCAGTGACGTGGCAGCTCTGGCCATGGTGACGCAGCAGGTGAGTAAGCACTCCGCTCCCCCCCCCCCGACAGCTACGTGGCACCGCTTCCTACTGTGACGAAGCACGCAACGCCGCTGTTAACATGGGCAACAGGCAACAGCGAACAGAATAAGAAGCCGGCTGAGCAGTAAGCGAGTGTTAGTGTGTGAGCCAGAGCAACACAGTTGGAATCTAGCAGCAGTCGCGGAAAGAAGAACCGGACACGTGTGATAATCGGTGATATTTTGTCATAACTGAGAAGTAACTTGGAGTGTGTAACACAGTGACACAAATAGCTCCCGTATTGTGAATATGTGTAGACTACTGAGGACAGAGTGAAGAGATTATTGCGAATAGGGATATAAAGTCTGAAACCCCTCAACAGTGTCGTAATTAATTGTAGCCGAGACTTGTAGGTTGTTAAATAAACCGATTAACAATATGAACGGCGTCTTCAGTGACTAAATACATTACATTTGGTGTCAGAAGTGCGACTGGACTTTTACACGTTACCAAGAAGTTTCAGTAACAAAACACATTACATTTGGTGTCAGAAGTGGGATTCAACTTACACACAATACCAACAAGTTTCAGTAACGAAACACATTACAATATATTTAATTTTCGGTATTCAACCTTGCGCCACATTCTACTGAAATAAGAAACTGTGTTGACAGATGTAAATATATTCAGACTTTGGTGTTCAAACTTGGTCTAAGTTATACTGAAATAAGAAACTGTGTTGAGAAATGTAAATATATTCAGTTTTTGGTGTTCAACCTTGGGCTAAGTTCTACTGAAATAAGAAATTGTTGTGTTGACAGATGCAAATATACTCAATCTTTGGTGTCCAACCCCGAGCTAAGTTCTACTGAAATAAGAAACTGTTGTGTTGAAGGATGTAAATATATTCAGCCTTTGGTGTTCAACCTTGGGCTAAGTTCTTTGGAAATAAGAAACTGTGTTGACAGATGTAAATATACTCAATCTTTGGTGTCCAACCTTGGGCTAAGTTCTACTGAAATAAGAAACTGTTGTGTCGACGGATGTAAATATACTCATTCTTTGGTGTCCAGCCTTGGGTTAAATTCTACCGAAATTCATTTTTTGGTAATTTCCCTTTCCCACCTCAGGTCTACATCAGACCTTATGCTCTACGGTACCGTTCGGGCACCGAGAACGTGATTAGATTCCAGGATGCAAGTAGAAGTATAAACAATATCCACAGCTCTGCTAATGCGTGCTGTGCCTAGCCAGAGCCCTTACTTTTCATACAACTATATCCTCATTACGTGGCACACTCACTGTTAATACTCATATAGTTCATTCATTTGTCTGAATAACCCAAAGCTGCTAACTTAGCAGTGTTCACGGCTAAATAAGCTTTGAGCATATTCATATGCCATCTAAAAGCTGACAGTTATCAAATGCTGGCTCGGAACTATCCTTTGATCTCGTCATTGTGATACCAGTACTGTCATATCTGTCTCGCATTCCGATCTGTGCATCTAGTTGCCTCCAACTGACTGCACGGTCAATATTTCACCAATGCTCACATCGCGATGCTTGTATGTCTGGATACAAATTCATCTTGTATTCCGCAATGTTCCTTCTTACTTAAAGCTGCAACGTTATTTCGCAATTTTCCTCCTTTCAAAACCAGCAACTAAATATCTGTCGCGATGCAGCCCATGTGCTGCATAGCATATTTATATTTTTGACTTGCGATTTCCAAAACCTACGCAACATTGTGGGGGACTATGTTCTGCCGGATACAAAGTTAACGCATGCTGGATACGGTACGGTACAGCCCCTTCAATTTTCATCACTTTCCGCATTCCAGGCTGCCAAAGGTTACAAATGGCCTATGGACATTGACAATTTACAACATTTTGACTGACGTTTGGCAGGAATAAGTGCAATAACGCGTATGTAATCGGAATGGCAGTACACTTTCATGTACATATTTATAAACCAACCACAGCCCAGATACTATAGCCAAAATATTGGCGAGAGGTACTGTTTAACCAGTCGTGTCTGAGCTACTATGATCACATCAAGATGTGTCGTGGGAAACGGATCTTATGAGTCTCACATCTTAACTTTGTATGAAACACACGAGACGCAGTGGCCGTGCGGTCTAATGCATGAAATGTTTCGGCTCTCTTGAACACTGGAATCGTTGGTTCAAATCCCACTCAAGACATGAATGTCTGTCTGCCTTTACAATGTGTTTGTGTATAGGCAGCAGCATTGAGACGGGCTGATCCCCAATCCAAGGAGTCCTAGCGACTGTCTAAGATCAAGAAACTCAAGTGAAAAGAAGGGTTCCACGGATGCCCTATGCTCCAAGTGGGAGCAACAGGAATAAGGATAGGTTTAAATTATAGTTGTTACAGGTACAAATTGTAATTAAAAAGAATAAGTACATCATACATGATTGCTGGATAATCAGTATTACATTACTGATGAAGATTATTACTTGTGGCTCAACTTAGAGAGCCTAAAAAATCGTAAGTAAATAGTGTGCACCTGCCAAAGTAATGGAGGTGAACTGTAGGTATACAAAATCAAGTGACATGTGCTAGTAAAATATTAAATTACAGTAAGCCATATTCTCAAAGCAAAGTGTGTTTATCTAAAGGGGGGGGGGGTGATAAAGTTTTTAGTTTCTTCCGAATCAAAACCACTTCAACTACTTTCAATGTTTATAAATGCATAACGACAACCGTGAGCAAACTCCCTCTAGCCAAATTTAATCTGATAATTAGAACAGGTGTCTCCACCTTATCGTGGTGAGGGTGTTTGAGTATGCCAAGGACCCTGAGAACTATACCAGCGGTAGCGTAGCTACTGGCAGGGCCTCCCTTGCTGGACAGGTCAAAGGGTAGGCATCAGACGAAGAGAGACACCGAAAACTGATGCCGGAAGCAGCGTCATCAGCGGCGACTTGAAGCACAGAGAAAATGATGCTCAAGATGGTTCAAGTTCGTATAGCAACAGGCGTGACCAGAGTGGTTTGAATGGCTGTTGTACTGCGATGTGGAAAGCAAATGGAAAAACGACCACATTATTACTTTTCCTGGATAGTCTCTTTCCAAAAACAGAAGATCGCATTAAGTGGAGAAACTGTTTTGGAAGAGGCTGTGGACCTGTCGTCTGACAGATTACTGATGAATGAATGAATTAGAACAGCCAGTGCACACACTGCCCAGAATATTATGTTAAAGGCATATTACATTATCTGTTGAGAAGCAGTCACCATCTAAAATGACATCTAACAGTCTATACAACTACAATTCAACGTTACTGACGGCCAGTACAACAAAGAAATTGAAAGGTAAAAGCTTTGATATGAGCATGAAACAGAAGGAACAATAAAACAATCATAAGAATTGGCGCCCGCTACATTGCATTACAGGCTATAAAGCCAATCGATTAGGTATAGCAAAGGATTTATTTTATTCTTAATTTTTAGCAATCACTTCAGGCCAGTTTCTATTCAGTCTCCTTTCAAGACCGCCTCATGACTCTAATCCAGAAGATATATATCTCTTGTACTTACTTCCCCGAGAGGACGAGAGATAGGCTGTCCACTTTAGTGACCTTTTCCTGAGCATATACCTCCTGGTACTTCAGCTGCCTGATTATCTTCATACAGTTGAGCACTTTCTTGAACTGATGACGTGTCACTTTCAGGGGCTGAAACAGGGCCAGGTACACCTGTAAAAATATATACCATCAGGTGTCATAAGAGGAACAAAATAACACATTTTAGCTTTAATACGAATAATCTGTGAAGAAACGTCGTTCATATAAGTATGGTCATGTTGTGACATTACACCTGAAAGCCGGAATAGTGAAGCCAGAGAATATGTCCACTGCTAGGCAACAGTTAAACTGTTATAATTATCTGTGGTTACAAATATGGAACATCGAAATAAGTTAATAATCCATGCAGACCCAGTGTCTAGCCACTAGCATGTGACAATACCAATAAAGATGAGAGATAAGGAACGTGGTGTGCAGTTTGAGACGTGACACGGATAAAGAAATTTGGTCGGTAAAGCAGAAGGGGAAGACCACTAAAAAGACCTATAAATGAGGATATTAAAACGGATTTTAAATAATAAAGGAGGAGATCGTGAACTGTTATCTTCTGGCTCCAGATAGGGACTAGTCGCGGCATGTTGTGAACTTTCGGGTTCTATACAAGGAGAATAATTTCTTGAGTAACTGATGGATTGTTAGTTTCTAAGGAAATATTCTACTGAAGAGAGTATATATATGGTGAATCTGTGTGTAGATTTATTGCCGGAAACACCACTCCGACGCCCTTTCAAAACAACCCTGCCAAGAGCAATATACTAACAGCCACAAAGTCGTGACGCAGGCAGATGTAAAGCTAATACACGCTATTGAAATCCTACCAGCAGCCGGCTGGGACCCGGTTGCCCTAAAACAGCTATACGACCCAGACATAGGGCCTATTCTACGGGAAGTAGAAACCGGAAGACCGGAGTGAAAAGATATCGCGGATCGGAGTCCCATGAACAAAAGCTACTGGGCTAAGTGGAATTCGCCTGGATGTGATAAACGGCATACTAGAGTGGAACTGATAATTATTACTTGAAGCAGGGTGAAGGACGTGCTGATCGAACTACATGGTGGACCTGCAGGAGGTCATTTGGGTGTTAACAAAACCCTGAATAGGGTTCGGCAGAGATTACTGGCTCCAAGAGCCAGATATTGAGTAATGGTGAAGATAGTGTGACATATGTGCAGCCAGCCGCGGACCGCGCAACACGAATCATGCACAAATGCACCAGTATACGTGTAATATCGGGGCTCCTTTCAAGAGAGTAGCCATTGATATAGCAAGGCCCTTCCCACGAAGCGACCAAGGGAACCGATACCTACTGATTGCTATGGACTACTTTACCAAGTGGCCGGAAGCATACGCAATTCCCAAACAGGAGGAGTCGGAAGTTCTGGTTGCCAATTTCTTCTGCCGCTTCGGTATACCTCGGGAGTTGCATAGTGACCAAGGCCGTAATTCGAGTCTCACCTGCTACAAGAAGATTTGCAATGCCTGGGAGTGAGCAAGACGCGCAACACGCCCCCTCACCCACAGTCGGACGGCATGGTGGAACGCTACATTAAGACCATCGAGGAGCACTTGCGGAAGGTCGTCGGATCCCACCAGAGGGACTGGGATGAGAGGTTACCTCTCTTTCGAATAGCTTACAGGGCATCCACTCACGACACTGTGGGTCTGATCCACGCTAGCCTAGTGTTTGGACGAGAACTCCGACTGCCTTGCGATCTCCTTTTTGGAGTACCCCAAGACAACTGAACTAACCACAACCGATTATGCAATATAGATAGTGGATCATCTAGAAAATATCCACAATTATGCCCGACAACACCTGAAGCTCGCCAGTGCCCAGATGTAAACTAGGTATGATAAAGTGGCCAACTCCGCAAGGTTACCATGAGGGCAACAGAGTTTTGCTCTATCGCCCAGCCTGCAGGAAAGAGAAAACATCGAAACTTCATTCCTCGTGGGAAGGCACTTACAAGGTAGTCACCCGGATAACTGACGTGGTATACAGAATCCAGAACACCAGGTCGACGATGCTGTGAACCGTCCTAAGACGATTCAAAGGGTTTGCCCCGTGGAGGGCGTCGTGGTCCTGTTGTCCGGCAGAGCCAATGTTCCTATTTTTCCGTTTAAGTTCCTTGCATGACGTTTAGCCATGCGAGGTCCCCCCTTCACCTTTTCCAGTCTTCCGAACATGAGACGATCTTCTCTTTTCCCCTGGGTGGCTGTTGGGCAGGGCAGTTATCTCTGCTGTTATAAATTCGTGTTTGGTTTCTGTAATGTGCGTCTATCTTGTTTCGATAAGACAGCGAAATTAGTCCCAGGGAAGGGCCCTTTTGCCAAGTCATGGAGGAATGGCGAAGAAATGGGGCTAAATACATATATATCTGGAAATATTGGCTTCCTGTGAGTATTTTTATTATTATTATTATTTCTGGTGAGCGTAATGGGCAATGCCCCTTATGGTTTCGTTGGTCTGGATGGCCGGAGTTATGTCATGGTTTTCTTGTTATGTATTTCTTTATATTTGCAGCTGATATATTTTTTTGTTCAGTTATTCATCTTTATATTATCTTTTTTGTTGTTGTTGAATGTATTCTGGTTTTACGTTATTACATTATAGCCATTGTAAGAAACCCAGTACGCCGTGTCGCTGCCTATTTGATTGTGTTAGTAATAACCGGCCCCGAACGGTTAGCGAGCGTGTAATCCACAACAGGTAAATGAACTCCTCCTCCTCTCTCCCGAAATCCGGTCTGGTTCCACTCCGGGTATGAAACGGTTCACACAAGAGAGGAAAGAAGATAGATGGTAGCAGAGCGCGGTTCTTGGTGTTTCTTAAATTAGAATTTGCGTAATTGTATTACTTTGTGCAGAATTGTGCAGGGATTTGCTTGTTGGTTATATAAGTGTGGAATCCAATACTTATGATTTGTGGGTTACATGCATTCATCATGCCGCTGAAATGGATTCATGATCTTTCGAGAGAAGAGGCCGAGAGATTGGCGGTGGAGTTGAGTGCTCCAGTGTAGGGCACTTTAGACGAGTTACGTAAACCTGTGAAGGAAAAATGGAAAGTTTTGGAGACCTACTTACCTCCTCAGAAGGCAGATAAGTCTGAACTGGCCATGCACACAGGGGAGGGTAGTGATAGTAGAGTTAGTAGTGGGCAGGGCCATCTTACATTCTCTCAGATTAAATCAAGGGCAAGGGTGGTCACCGATCTGGTGAAGGGCATCCCGCTTTTGTCCGATGCGGAACCGGAGGGAGATCTTAAGTTCCTTATCCTGGCAAGCGAAGTCTACGATTTGGGTCTTGTTACAGATGAGGAATTTTTGGCTCTCCTGGTCGCTAGGACGAATGGGAGGTTCACACACATAATCACTGGCCAATTCAGAGCGTCTGCAAATTGGGGGGGGGGTTCGCTCTGAACTCCGGTCGACCTTCCTTCCCCTCGTATCCGTGAAGGCCATTTAACAAGATATGTCCTGGAGCGGTTTCATATTGTGATGGAGGACATGTCGCAATATATGTGGTGCAATCCAAAAGTTCCCGAACTCTGTATAAATAAAAATGTAAATGTTCGTTTGTTAGCCTTCGAAAATCTCCGAAAGTTCTTCACCGATTGCTTCGAAATGTTGACACAACGTTGCATTCGAATGCGCGAGTTTTTATATACCTACAAGCTGTACCCGGCCACGCGTGAATCCGGAAAGTATACTTACATGGAAACGCAATAACATTTGCATAGGAATTGCCGAAACAACAAACGCGTTTCCCCGGAGATTAAAGGATAAGAGGTTAAGTTGCGTAACAACGGATGAAACCGGAAAGTATACTTCCATGGAAACACAATAACAGTGGGCCATTGCATAGGAATTGCCGAAACAACAAAGGCATTTCCCCGGAGATGAGAGAAGAGGTTCCGTTGCGTAACGACGGATGAAACCAAACACTTCTACAAAGTATTCTGTGCTAATATTTCCTAAGCAACAGATGAAACTAACTCTTCGATAAGGTATTCCCTATCCCGTCCGAACGCTGGCTATATGTATAAGAGAGTGTAGCTCCGGCGACTGTTCAGTATCACGAGTGTCTCGAGTATCACGAGGTCACAAGTATCACACGAGATTCCGAGTGAAATCACAGCAGAGATCCTGAGTTTTCACCCAGAGTTTCGAATTCGACTCTGGCAGCGTTTCCCCGGTGATAGACAACAGAAGGCTCATTTTTAGCATCCGCTGAGGTATAAATAGTCCAGCTTGGACAAGAAGCAGTCAGTCTCAGGGCAGATGCAGAGGGATACAGAAGAGAGTCTGGAAGTAACCGCCGAAGGAGTCAGTCTTGGGATAGCTACGGCCGAATATACAGTTTCGATTTAATTATTTCGTGTGACATTGCGTTGGAATTGGGCTGTGTCGTTTACCATAGCGTTCATTTCGTGAGTATAGTTTATTTTTCACTGTTTTTCATTTCGTTTTCTTAACTCTTTTCCTTATTTTTCAGTGCAATTGGCGGTGGGATTGAGCTGTGTCGATTGATCTGCGTTTGAATTGAAATATTTCGTTAGACTGAGCCACAGCAACGCGTGGCCCGGTACAGCTAGTCTATATAAATAAAATTGTAAATGTTCGTTTCTTAGCCCTCGAATATCTCCGAACGTTCTTCACCGATTCCTTCGAAATTTTGACACAACGCTGCATACGTACTAGCTGCACCCGGCCACGCGTGAATCCGGAAAGTATACTTCCATGGAAACGCAGTAACAGTTGCATAGGGATTGCCGAAACAACAAACGCGTTTCCCCGGAGATTAAAGGATAAGAGGTTCCGTTGCGTAACAACGGATGAAACCGGAAAGTATACGTCCATGGAAACGCAATAAGAGTGGGCCATTGCATAGGAATTGCTGAAACAACAAACGCATTTCCCCGGAGATGAGAGGATAAGAGGTTCCGTTTCGTAACAACGGATGAAACCAAACACTTCTACAAGGTGTTCTGTGCTAGCATTTCCTAAGCAACAGATGAAACTAACTCTTCGATAAGGTATTCCCTATCCCGTCCGAATTCTGGCTATATCTCTAAGAGAGTGTACCT